GAAACTATGGGCTCTATTTTCCTGCAGTAGGATGCAGTGCTAAACTCTTGTTTTAGTTTTTTGTTGGCTGGGTAAAAATGTTATTAACTGATGAGGCCATTTTTTTGTCATTGCTTTTATTAGTTTAATCGACAAGCACGCACCTTTTTAAAGATTTAGAGTAAAAGACCAAAATAATGGTTTGTGGCTGATTTGTCCAACATCCACTTATAAAGCTATTTTAGATCAACTGGACTATACATTTGCAAACTCATATCAAAGAACTGTTTTTCCAGTCATAGGGCTGAAACAGGGTGCAGTGCTATGTTCGTGTCTAAATTCCAGGCGCAAGGCACATATGGGAGTGTCCAGCACTGTTTTGCAATTTTGGTGACTACAGGTACAGCACACTCTTGTGTGTGGAAGACAAAGTCTCTGGTCCTGTAACCAGCAGCAGTTATACAGTGTCATTTACTCACAGCTACATCCAGCTGTGGATTATTTGAGAGAAACTGTGCCCTGCTGTCACTATTAAGTTAGTTTCTTCAAACAAACAGGTTTCACACAGACATACGTTTGTTGCTACTGTGCAGATATATGTTGTGTCTGTTTTTGCGTTTTATGGCGGTTTGATCAGCATTGCCAGCAGCTGGAGGTGGAGATAAAGTGGCTGTGAGCTCTGGTGGACCACAATCAGTTTCTCCACGAATGCAGTGATTACAATATGATTTTACTGTATTATTTTAAAGACAATAAAATGTTTATAAGGTTACATGTGAGACCTCTGTGTATTTCACCCACTAGATGCAGCTGAGAGTAAATGAAGCTATATAACTGCTGCTGGTTACAGGATCAGAGATTTTCTATCTTACATGCGCTAAAGCTGGTCAGTGATATTAGCAGACTGCTGAGCGAATATTTATGTGCAGTACGTCTATAATGCCTAGTCTTTTCATTACACTTTAGGAATGGACAAGACACAGTGTAAGAATCGTTCTTCTCATTTGTCCTGACATCAGTGACATCAGTCAGTCAGGTTTCTGTCCTGCTCTTTAAAGGGGATGAGAGGAGCTGGTTTGATTTGACAGAACTAAAGCCAGGCCCAACTCCACCTGCTCACCATGTATTTCTCCCTTTAATAATGCATTCCAACTCTCCTCCACAATGCACCCGGTAACGCCTGGCTGCACACAAAGCTGCGCTTCATTGATTAATCAGGACATGTGCAGGGTATCTGTCATTTATCTTGGCTCATGAACTCCTTTGACTTTATTGCGTGAGCCTACTGCTATTCCCAAACACTGACTGCAGATCACCTGTGGCTGTATCCTGTAAGGACAGATGTTGCATTCTGATGCGTGCCAACACTGTTTGATTATATTCATATCTACAGCCACACATTGTGGACTAGTTTATTTATCTTACCTAAAAATAACCTTCATGATATGCAATAAATTATTCAGAGTGAATTCCAGCAGATCAGTTGTGGATTTAAGAGCTAATTTGAAGTTGCTGTGGCCATTAAAATACATTTGGGTACCTGATCTCGTGACTCCCAGCCTATGCGCTTCGCAGGAACATTGCAAATGCACCTGTGATTGTGATAAGAGGTGGTCTGATCAGGTGTTATCATTAGCGCTGTTTCTGGTCAAAACAAGCATGAAAATTCCACTGCGCTGTCTAACTAGAGCACACACGGCCTCAACTGCGCCTCTCCTCCCACCTCAGTGTAAGCACATTCATTCATGGCAGGAAAATACCAAATGCACCGATGTGCAAAAAAACCTGGCCATCTGCCAGAGGAAAACTGCACAACAACTGTGAGTGAAGTGATGCAGAAATTCTCCTGGCAGGAAAAGGGAGCCCTAATCGAAGATCACAAGACATACGTGTATCTACTGTCTGTCCCGAGCGTTTGGACAGGGATGGGAAAGAAAGCTTTAATGTTTCCAGCTCCATCCACCTGGAACTGTTTACAAGGGGAAATTAAATGATACCACTTGGCATCACTGACAAAATGTAAAACTATTGTAAAATTATTCTTTTTCTGCTCATTTTTAGTTCTTAATTCTTGGTGCTGATACTGTTTCATAGTCACCTTTGCTCTTAGTTTTTGTGATTTCCTGCACAGTTATCTGTTTTAGGGTTGTGTGTATATGTTTGTCTGGAACTACTGATACAGCCGTCTTAGGCAGGGCCCTATAAAAGAGGTTTTTTACCTCAATGGGATACCCCTGGGTAAATATTGGCTAAATTAAAATTGAAATAAAGCTCAAATTACCGCTTTGTGGGTTGTATGCCTTCGTCAACTAATCAAATTCACAAATATGGGAAAGAAGTGAGGTCACTGACCTTGACCTTTGACCACCAAAATCTAATCAGCTCATGTTTGTGCTGAATTTGAAGAAACCCCCAGTCCTGAGATATCACATTCACAATGGGACAAATGCAAGGTTACAGTGACCTTGACCTTTGACCTTTGGACACAAAATTTGAATCAGTTCATCCTTGCATGGACACTTTTTACACTAGTGGCCAAATTTGAAGAAATTCCTTCAAGGTGTTTCTATGATATCCCCTTCACAAGAATCCCACGGACATACAGATGAGCAACCTGAGAACATAACGCCTCCAGCCGTGGCGAACGCCGGTGTGGACGCATATGAACAAAGGCTGGTTAAGTACAGAAATAAAAACAAGGAAACACAGTGTTCTGACATCTGGCTATCCTATCAGTAAAGGTCAGACATGGCTGATTCATCGACAGCTGGTCAAGTGATACTGACGCAGGCAGCCAGTGATGATAGATGAGAGAGAAACATATGTCACAGAGGAATGGTGCATGGCTCATTCACCCTTATACACTGTTGGTGATAAGGTGAGATGAGGTGAGGAAGCATCAGTTGCAGCTAGATGCTGGCTTGTCATTCCGCACATTCCAGCCCATAATTCTCACTCTTCTCACATTATTCTGCTGTAACTCACACACACACACAGGTCATGTTGTCTTCTCCTCATTTCTAAATGCATCCACTCCCACATTCCTTCTACTGTCTTTAATCAGCAGCATTTTTTTTTCATGTTAAAAATTTGTCATCTCTCTCTCTCAAAACCCTGAGCTCGCACTCAAATAGCACCTGCTCACAGGAAGATTTGCTTTGCTTGCTCACAAATTTGCACAAATTTCTTGCACTACCACATAAACTCTTCTCGCATTCAGGCAGCTGCTGCTTCTTGTGAAGCTTCTGCTCTCACTCTTGGATTTTTGTGAAATAACCCCATCATAATTCCCCAACCAACAGAACGCCTGTGTTGACCAATGAAATGATCACAGCTATGTCTCAGATGCATTCAGTTTACTTCTTAGGGCGTCCCATGTGGACGGTTACTATAAACTAGCTACCAGTCTTCTGAGTCTAGGTTGCCCAGAAGAATTACGGAACAAAATCATAGACAAAAAATGATTATGCAGAACTATTCTAGAATCTTGTAATTTCTGAGATTTGTTTAGACTTTATGTTTTTTCTTTTATTCAAATCTGTTTTATTGAAGCCTGTTAAGTACTTTTGAGACTTTCAAAATGTACAATAGTTCTGACCCCTGTTCAGAGAAGCCCGCTTATATTTCAAATAGGTCTATCAACAAACCTATTAATAGTACAGTAAGAGAATCAAGGATTTCCTGCATATTTTAAGAATGACCATGAGCTCATACACATACAAGTCCATTTGTCGATAGGCCTTAGTACCCAGTGGCCCTGGTTACCCAGCCAAACTGAGTAATCAGGGACAAAGGGCCTTGGTCAGACAGGTAACCAAGAACCCAAGGGTCACTATGAATGAGATCCAGAGTTCCTTCATAGAGATGTGAGAACCTTAGAGAAGGACACCACCAATCAGGCCTCTATGGTAGAGTGGCCAGGTGGAAGCCATTCCAAGGGGTTGAGAGAAATGGGGGTAACTGGCCATTACTACAGTCCACACCAACTCTGGCTGCTCACAGTGCATTCCTCCCACTAACAATATATTACTTATACTGTATATCTTACTTCCTTACACCTGGCTGTGCCCAATATGTGCCAGCGCTGGTTGTCAAAAAATGTCAGAAAAATTGTTGGACACACACATACACACCTTCACCTGGAGTTTAGACTAGAGTGTGGATACCCGAACCCGGCCTGACTGGACTCGTTGGTAACCAGGGGCTCAGGCTGGGTTTGGACAGAAATTTAAAAATTATGTTCAGGTCTAGGTTGGGTTCGGACACGTAGGTCAAACATTAGGTTCGAGCACTCAAATGTCTGCTTTGTTTCATGATAAGGGGGGAAAACACCATACAAACTCAAATGACTTGGGCTCGGGTCAGGGTCAAACATTATATACCATGAGCTTGCCAGGTCCAGGTCAAGTTCAGACACCATCCCCTCAGGATCGGGTTTGGACAGAAATATGCATCCCAATCCATGTTCTTATTTAGACCTGTGTTTGCCTCTGTGCCCTATTTCAGCAAAACAGAGTGCTTAGTGGTCGAACCCTTAGTAGTGGTTTTAAATTTGTGGTGATAACGTTTTTCATTAAAAAGTTTAATCATGTTCCTTCAAGAAGACATATGATTTAATAAGCTCTGAGCCCCTCTCCTCCTCCTGGGGCTGAAACATCAATGAAATCACGTGAACCCCTCTCCTCCTCCTGGGGCTGAAACATTAATGAAATCACGTGAAAATCATGGAAAATGCCATGCCATCGTGTATACGACTCGGTCTTACCTGGCCCACAGACTGTGTGGAGGGAACATGGCCTGGCCCAGCAGACTCTGGTACGAGTACAGACAAACCATGTGACCAGCAGCGAAGAAGCCCACCATCACACACAGTGCATTAAAACCCAGGTGACTGATGGGAAGGTGGCATGCCCACCACGTGCACACACTTATGAAAAGCAGGAAGTAAATGGCTGAGAAGGCAGAGGGCAGCGTGATGCCTGGGAGGAAAAGGATGAAAGGCCAGAGACAAACAAGTCAGACCCTCATGAACACCTGGAACTTTAAAAGCAAGTGGAATCATTTGGTGGAATCACAGACAATTTGAACAATAATACATTACATTAAAAATCTTATGTATGTTTTACACATTTAAAGTAATAGTTCAGAGTATATGTTGCCCCTTTATCATACACCAACCCATAGACACAATTCAAATTCATCTCTGTGCATTCACTACAGCAACACTGTTAATGGCCTACAGTATTTAAAGCTTAGAACAAAGAGTGGAAGCAGGGGGGGAAATAAGTCTTCTGTGTCTTATTTACATGCTGTAACTTGCAGGAAATGTTGATTTCCACTGACAATAGCTTAGTGTCTATAAGGGTATGAGAAAACAGGCTCATGGTGAATTAACCAGTGTATGAAAACCTGTTTTCTGCTAATAAGAGAAAGTGGAAGCAGCAGAGCGGAGTATTACAGGACTCTGTTATAATAATGCAGTTCATGCCATGGAACTGGAGATTATACTGAATAAACTACGTAAGGCATTTTGGTAATATGGTCAACTATGTGTGTATGGTACACTTAGAAGTTGGCAAGTTGAACACAAGTGAGTGTAAACGTTTAACCTTTTATGGAGCCCATCAGGTGTAATGAAGAAAAAAAATACATTGTTGGTTTTATTAAATGAGAAATTTACGTACACAAATGACTCATTTGTGTATTAATATACTTTTGGTGCTACTCTAAACATTGTTGTGTTATTTTCAGAGAAGTACCAGTTCATTTCTGGTTTCAGATTATTTTTAAGCCTGACCTGCTGATTCCCATTTTTCTCTGAAAGAACTCTTATGTGGCAGCATACACAAACATTTCTGTAACTTTTCTTTAGTGAAAAATTGAACTGTAATAAAAATAAAACTCTGTTTAGTTTCCCAACTAAAAATAAAGTGCACTACTTGTTTCTTTTCCAGATGTAAATAGGTGCAACCAGTAATGAAAACAAAAGAATGTCTGTTACCTCAGTCCTACTGAATATGCAGTTCTGTTTAAGGTGTGTGTAGTTTGTATTTGCTTTCTTTTCCTGTGTTGTGGGTTGGATACACTGTACACGTACATGCATGTCATATGTAGGCAGTAATTCCATCACTGTGTGCCATTTGCCAGGGTTGTGGACTGTAGCTTTCCCTCCTCCTAGGTGAACATGCTCCAGGTATAGGCACGAGCGTGCACTTCACACGAGATGATGCACACTGTGCATGCTTTGCTTTCTATCTGTGCCAGTGTGTGTGCAACATGAAACACTGTGCATGTGAATCTGACAGGCGCAGTATTGGACCAGTCAACTGTTTAAGCTGAAGACCAGCCAATTCCATTCTTGAGTCAATCAATCAGTGCATCTGTAGTTGTTTTAATTAATCATTAAAATAAATTCCTAATTCTAAAACTGTGTTTTATTCATTTTTGCATTTATATTAATTCAAGAGAACAAGTTAGTCATTCGGATGCTAGTAAATTTACTCCACTACATCTGCCAAGCCTTGAAGATTTTTGACAGTGTGAACAAAAAAGGCATTACACTTAATTTCTCTACTGTTTTAAATCATTATCTCACATCAACAACTTTTATTGCAGCTGCGCCAGGCTGCTATCCTATAGGAAATCAAACACATCTCCCTCAGTCTGATTCACTGGCCACACGTGGCAAACATTCTGGGTGCCTATTTGTCACTTCAGAGTGGTGACCAGTGAATACCGTTTCTGGATATGAATCAAAATGTAAATAGTCAGACAAAACTAATTTGAGCAGAAATACAGTGTAAACCAAACACCACTGTCTGGTCTGTGCTCACACATGTTCAGCTTCTAATTCATGTGTTGTTAAATGAGATGGAAACATGAGAACAGAGATCCTACCAGCCAAAGCCAACAGGATGATGGCCAGGATTCTCCCCAGGTCCCTCAGGACTTTCCGAAAAATGGCCTTCAGACGCTCTGCCAACTGCTTGGCTCTGGTTGCTGTGGAAACCTCCTCATCAGGGTCACAAGGTCTCTCTTCTTCAGTTTCGTCTCCCGATGCATCTACGTCCTCCTCCTCCTCCTCCTCCTCTTCATCATCATCATCATCATCGTTGGTAGTTTTATCTGCTGGATCATCTTCTAGCTAAGGTGAAAAAAGAAAGTTACCGCTACTAACAGTACAGTCACACATGAAATTTTTAGGAAAGAGACAAATAACTAGTCATCTCCTGAACTTCAAATCAATAGCCAACTTTTGTTCCATGACCCCACTGCGTTTAACTGATGCCTTGTGTACTGAAATATAAGAATCCAATATGCCGTTATAAACTGTGTTATAGCACGTTCTAACTGCATTTTTCTCTCTCCTCTATCCACTCACCCCAACCGGTCGAGGCAGAAGGCTGCCCACCAAAACCCAAGGTCTGTCGGAGGTTTCTTCCGTTAAAGGGAGTTTTTCCTCCCCACAGTCACCAAGTGGTGCTCAAAGGGGGATTGATAACAGTAAGGTCTAGACCTTACTTTGTAAAGTGTCCTGAGATGACTTGTTGTGATTTGGCGCTATACCATTAAAATTTGATTGACTGATTGATTGATTGATTGATTTAACTAGGGTTGGGTATCAAGAACCGGTTCCAAGACTCGTGGATTTGTTAAGACACATGCATTTCAGTTCCACACCATTGCATAGTTCATTCGTGCTCCTGAATGAACTACAGTGAGTATTATTCTCGTTGTGGGGAGACAGTGGTGTGGTGGGTAGAGCAGTCGTCTTCCAACCAGAAGGTTGAAGGTTCAAATCTCGGTGCTGGCAGTCCATGTGTTGAAGTGTCCTTGGGCAAGACACTGAAACCCCCCCGATGGTTGAGGTGGCGCCGCAGATGGCTGCCATGGTTCTGTACTGGAAATGAACTCCTTGTGTGTAACATACTTGGCCAATAAAGGTGATTATCCTTATACAGTCCATAAAAGTTTCACCTATCTGCCAGGGCCTGTGACGTGGACCTAACACCACATCATTTGTCATGCAACACGTCAACAAAGCATGTGAAGAGATGCTTCTGTTTACATCCTGGACCATGGCTGACCACAGAAAAGATGCAAAGGTTTGGCATGTCTTCTCTAAAAATGATAATGATAATGACAGCAAAATGCAACACCTGCCGTAAGGATATTTTGTGCAAGAAGGAAGCATCTCTAACATGGTGAAGCTTTTACTGAAGGAATGCTCTGTGCTCGATGTGCTGTGGCCTTCCAGCCACAGTAACGCCCCAGGCACAAAACACAGATGAGCTGACATTCTTCTTTTATATTTAAGGTAAACAAATGATGTCTACAAATTATTTTATATATATATTTTTCTTAAATATTCAGAGGGCACCTCTCCACCAGTGGTTCATTCCCATTCCCTGGAGATCCCCTCGTAAGAATAACTTTTGTTCTTGAAATATTTGGTGGGGTCTTTTCTCTTGGAACCAGAACCAAGAATTGATAAGAATTGGATTCAATAAGCAGTTTCGAGCAATTGGAATCTATCAAATTGAAACAATACCCAACCCTACATTTAACTATACTGATTCTATACTACTTTATTAAATTATTGTGCATAACAAACCTGTCCACCCAAACCTACTCCTATTGCCACATCAATATACACACCAGTAGTGGTCCACCAGTAATAACCCAGATTTTCTTCAAACACAGTTTTGGGACCCAGTTTGGATTTAGACTTCTACTTAGGAGTTTGAAATATTAATCAAGTTCTTTCCCATTTCTCCATCCATCCATCCATCCATTTTCCTCCGCTTATCCGGAACCGGGTCGCGGGGGCAGCAGTCTAAGCGAAGATGCCCAGACTTCCCTTTCTGCAGACACTTCCTCCAGCTCC